AGCCCTCCAAAACATCTTAAGTAAACCAAAAGACCCAGTAGCCCAAGAAGAAAAAAACAGAGTCATCTACAACTTACAATTTAAGGACTGTAACAGCCACTATGTAGGACAGACAGGCAGAAAACTGGCAGAGCTCATCCATGAACACCAATTAGTAGTCAGAAGACATGATGAAAACTCCTTAATCTCACCACACATGGACAGACTCAACCAAAGCTTCAAGTGGGAGACTGAGCATCCTAGACCAAGCTAAATCCAAAAATGCTAGGGAATTCCTGGAAACTTGGCATTCAGACATATCAGCCATCAGTCAACACATAGAAATAAATCATATTTACACACCTTTCAAAAGAGACAATAAAAAAAAAACTCAAAAGGAAACAAAAGGACCAGAACACATTCGTTCCAGCAGCCAACACCCAGATAACTAGGGATTAACACCAGGCAAACAAGCAGAAGAAAATACCCCAATCAAGCAACTACCAAGGAGTAAACCACATCCCTACTAAAACTGGCAGGGCATGCTACTATATATAAACAGGGAGCAAACCCCACACTTACACTGATAATGTAACCTAATTGGGTAATGAAACATGCCAGCATCTTACATCCTTTTATTTACTTAAATATCTCTCTATTCCACATAGTCCCTGTAGTACTCTTAGAAAATAAAAATAGTGAATGACTGTAGCCAAATGCTTCATTTGAAAGTGTACTTGTCTGAAATAAGGAGAAAGATAAGCTGAAGCCATGAAGACCCTGTTGGAGGGGTCAATAGACAAATGGAGAGTAACCCAATTAATTTGCCTAAAATGTTTTTTAACTGGCTACATTTCCTATACCAATCATTTTTGGGGGATATAAGTAATATGCTTTCAAAATTCCAAATGTCTGTCTGTTGTATGATAAGAATACATAATACTCTGGAGGAAGTGATCTAAGATTGTAAATCATGGTTTCATATCTTTCCAGTATTGAAGTATACTGTAATCTTTTGTGCTCTCCCCCATGTATGATAAATACACAGCCCTTCATATAGTGGTAAGTTCCACGTTTTTGATACATAATTCAAATACTTTCATATTTTTCAATCATTTTGATTGTAATACCATAATTACAAACGTATGGATATTAAATGGTATAGTAGTGGGACAAGCCCACACCATATGAACAAGTGTCCACTCACCTGTTATATACTTCCAACATGAAGTTGACAGACTACTTTTAAAACATTATTTAGGATTCAGTAAACATGAACAAGAATATTTTGTTGAATTAGTTTTATCTTAAGATTAAAAAGAAATATTCTTACTATTTTTTAAAAACCTTAGCCATTGATTTGTTAATACAGGATATTCCAACTTTTATTCCAAATCTCTTATAAATAGCTATCTACCTCAGAAGAAGCTATCTACCGCAGAGACTTTCTCAGATGAATGAGGGTAGAGAGGGTAGGCTTCCTTCCCACCATCTTTCAAATGGGCCTTTCCTCATTTAATGCAGAAAATACAATAGAGCTATGGCTAAAAATGGAAGCAAGTCCTGCCAAGAGGTCAGAGAGGTCACACAGTAACTTTTGAATTCTGCATTTTTAAAAATTTTTATTTGATTACTTGCATTTCATTGAGAAATTGAAGGCAAAATGTATGCCACTTGATAAAGCTGAAAATCTGGAAAGTTAAAACTCCCATAATTGTATGATAGTTGAAAATTAGATAAAGTAATCTGGGGGGTTGTCTTTCCCATTGAAAAAATTCTGAATAACCTGTCAGTAGAGTCATAGAATGTAAGACTTGGAAAAGACCTTGAAGATCCTGTAGCCAGCCATTTGTTCAATATACAGTATCCATGACAGATGGACATCCAGCCTCTGCTTAAATTGTTCCAACAAAGGAAAGCACACCACCAAGGCAATCTATTCCCTTGTTCAACACCTCTTTAGACTAGGAATGGTTTCTTGATATCCAGTCAAAATTTGTTTCCTTGTAATTTACATCTGTTATTTCTTGACTTGCCTTCTGAGCAACTCTACCCCATCGTCTACATTACAGTTTTTGAGAAGTCTGAATACAGCCTTCGTGTCCCCCTACAACCTTTTCTTCTCCAAGCTAAACACACCCAGTGCCTCCAATCATTTCTCATAAGTTTCTCCTTCTTGGCTCCTATCATCTTTTTTGTTTTCCTCTAGACATGTTCCAGTACGTCAGTGTTGTTTCTAAAATGCAGTGCACAGAACTGGATAAAATATTCTAGGTTCTGTCTGACCAGTGCAAAATTGGAGAAACAGTTACTTCCTTGATCTTCACATTGTACTGCTATTGAATTGCACTTACTTTTTTTTGCAACTATATCATACTGTTGGCTCATGTTCAGCTTGTGATCTACCAAGATATTTAGATCCTTTTTGTATATACTGCTGCCCAGTATGGAATTCCCCATCCTATGGTCATACCTTTAATTTTTCCAAGAAGAACTTTACCCTTGTACCTGCTGAAATTCATCTTTCTTGCTTCTACCCATTGTTCCAGCTTGTCAAGATTTTTGTGTTGATATTTTCCTCTGAGGTGTTTGCTATTCCCCTTAGCTTTGTGTTGCCTGCAAATGTGATAATCGTATTTTCTAAACTCATCAAAATCATTTATAAATAAGTTGAGCAACCCAGGGTCTAGAATGGAGCCCTGTGGTATGCTATTTAGCATTTCCTTACAGTTTGATATAGAGGCATTGATTGGGTTAGGTATAATTGTTCAACCAATTCTAAATCCATCTAATGGTATCATAGTCCAGCCCATATTTTCTTATTTTTTCTGGTACAGCCTCATGGAGATTTTGTCAAATGCATTGCTAAAGTCAAAGTGTATACTATGCCTATGACATGGTCACTTTATCAATAAAAGAGAAGAAACATAACCTTTTTTTGATAAGTCCACGTTGGCTTCTGCCAGGTAATACATTCTTTTTTAAATGCTCACAAACCAGCTGCTTAATAATCTGTTCCACCCTTTTGCACGGTATCAAAGTCAAGTTGATTGGCCTTTAATTACTCATGTGTCCGTCCCCCCCCCCCCCCCCCCGTTTGAGGACAGAAACAATGCTCTTCTCCAATACTCTGGCATCATGCCCATCCTCCAAGATTCCTCAAAGTGCAGAGAGGACTCTAAGATGACATATATAAGCTGTAAGACAGAAGTAAAAGATTCAAAATTTAAACCCTGGAGCCCATATATCTCTATCGCCATCTCCATCTCCATATGGTTTCTAAGTGTAGGTTCCAGGATGTAAATATTAGGTCTTTTCCTTTTGTTA